CCCCCCTTCCCGCGCCGCCGCGACCCGGCTTCAGCCGCCGTCGTGCGCTGAACACCGGCGATGCGGAGCTCCCGGGTTGCTGAAGCAAGAGGAGAAGCTCTGGAGTTGCCCTGGGACGGGGGTAAACCCGTTCCGCACCGTCCCCAGAAGGGACGCAGCGGATGCGCTGCTTCTCCAGCTGCGTGAAGTGTCACCCCGGGGCGCGGGTTTGCAGGGGCCGTGCGGGTGGTTTTCACCCGGAGCTCGAGGCCGCGGCCGGTGTTTGCTTGTAAAACGCGCTGGGACGTGTCTCTAGGGCGCTCTCCCCACCGCTCTGCTCCTGTTCTGCTCCCACCAGGTCCTGGTGGTGGGCTGCGGGAACTCGGAGCTGAGCGAGCAGCTGTACGACGTGGGGCTGTGCGAGGACATCGTCAACATCGACGTGAGCGCCGCCGCCGTGCGGCAGATGCGAGAGCGCAGCGCCGGCAGGAGGCCCGGGATGAGCTACCTGCTGATGGACGTGCTTCAGATGGACTTCCCCGACGCCCACTTCCAGGCGGTTCTGGACAAAGGCACGCTGGATGCCATCCTCGCCGACGAAGAGGAGGCCACTCTCGCCAAGGTGGACAGGATGTTTGCCGAGATCAGCCGGGTGCTGCAGGTGGGAGGGCGCTACCTCTGCGTCTCCTTGGCTCAAGCCCACGTGCTGAAGAAAGCAGTGGGATACTTCTCCCAGGAAGGCTGGGTTGTTCGTGTCCATCAGCTGGCTGGCAGTGGGGACAAGCAGCAGTTTGTCCTGCCTGTCTTTATCTACGTCATGACAAAGTTCAGGAAGATCCCTGGCTCAGCAGCACAGATCCTGGAGATTTGCCCTGAGGAGCAAGAGAAGCCCGTGAGGGTGGAGAGCGCGGAGCTGCTGGTGGCAGCGGTGAAGGACAGGCAGCATTATGCCCTGCTCTGCAGCCAGCTGAGCAAAACACCCTGCAGGGAGCAGCTTTCCCTGGATCTGTGCGATAGGGAGAGCAGGAGGCCTCGCTACACGCTGCACGTCATCGACAGCCCCTCAGTGAAACCCTCCCGGGAGAATCACTTCGCCATCTTCATCAGTGAGTACAGCCCCTCCTGGCTGCAGTGAGGGGCTGCTCTGGCCAGG